CAGCGGACACTGCGTGCAAGTGCGTTTAAAACCGAGAGCAGCTCAACACAAAGGGTGGAACAAGCTGCCCAGCCAAGTGGTCGAAGCTGATAGCCCGATTTCTTGAAAGATACAGCTGGACGAGAACCTCAAATCAATTAGGTACGAACTACCTAACAAGCTACATGACCTAAATGGTTTGCTCTTATTTCTGACCCTCCTAGGGCTCTGCTAGGAGAGACCCCTTCTAAACTGGCTAGATTCTCATTTCATTTAGAGCCCACGCAGAGCCGGAACAGGCACACAGAGCCCTCCAGTCCAAGGACAGGGGTTCCCAGAAGTTGCAGGGCCCCTAAATAGTGATTCAACCTCTCAAAACACGTGATAGATGCTTCTACAGCCTCTGCCTTTAAATCAAGGCTGGAGTCCGACGAATACGAACGCAGCACTATTGCGGTCTCTACTGCCTTAAGGCCCTAATGGAGCTTGGCAAGCTCTCAGAGGAAACGAGGGGCTGATCCGTCCTGGTCACCAGCCAGGCTGAGACGCAGCAGGGGACTCACACGTAGATGGGACTGTAGTCGGCGCTGCGACCGGCGTGGGACAGCGCGAGCTCGTAGGACAGCGAGTGGGCGCTGGGGGCCTCACTGTCGCTGTCGCGCGGGCCGAGGGGAGAGCTCCAGGACAGCATCGCGCTGCGCGGGGACACGCTGCACACCTGGAGAGAGAGAGAGAGAGAGAGAGAGAGAGAGAGAGAGAGAGAGAGAGAGAGGGGAGGGGGGTGGGAGAGGCGGCCAGTCAGATGCTCAGCTGCCCTGTCTGGGGGCAGCAGCGGGTCAGGCAGGGCAGCGCAGGTGGACAGGGGGGTCACTCACCACGGGCTTGGCCACACTGGACAGCTGCTCCACGAGCCCCTTCACCTCTGCCTCTGAAACAGCACCAGCGGCAGACAATCTCAACACACACCGGGCACAGTTTTGTTTCTCCCACACACGTGTGCCAGCATTCTGCAGTTTCCATACAATCCTGCACGTGTATTTCATCCTTTACAATTCAGGGCTCTAGGCCTGTCCAACACGTCTGATCAAAGCAAGTTCAATTCAGTTGTCAGACAGAAGGGGGCGCTCCCACACTACAGAAGAAATGACTGAAATGTGACTGAAATTCAAGTTCCGGTACTGGCAACACACTGCAACACTTACATGCACCACCTTATGCAACCTGGTGAGTAAATTGCAAAGCTGCTGTTTATCAGATTTATGATTTTATTCTGAACAGTCCACCGAAGGAGCTTTACAGGTAACGTAAAGCCAATCTGTAGCCCCACCTGGATTATGGATTTACGCTCCCCACACACCAGCTCTCAGTGGGGAGGAGAGCAGAGTGATGAAGCCAGCTCAGAGAGGGGGATTATTAGGAGGCCATGACTGGTAAAGACCAGGGGGGACACCAGGGTTCGAGAAACGCCCTGGGACTTTAAATGTCCACAGAGAGTCAGGACCTCGGTTTTACGTCTCATCATTTAATGTGTGAATTTAACAAAGCATTCAGGATTAATTCGGGTCTTGCAGTGCCAGGTACTTCCGGCTTGGCGCCCCTCACCTGTGCTGTCGCCCTCTGCTGGCGGGGTCGCCCGGGGCCTGGCGGCGCTCTTGGGGTTGCAGGGCGCGGGGGCCCCAGCGTGGCCCTTCCCGCAGCCGTTGTGCGGCAGAGGCGGTGGGCTGCCGCCAGCCTTGGCGCACAGCGGGCGGTCCTTCAGCCGTTTCCTGAGCGACTCCTGCGTCTTGGCGGCACGGTCGTCCCGGGACAGGCCCGTCCCACCCCGGCCATGGGCCGCGGCCTCTGTGCACAGACAGACAGA